AGATAGATAGATAGATAGATAGATAGATAGATAGATAGATAGATAGATAGATAGATAGATAGATAAATAGATGGATGCATAGAGATATAGATATAAATCTCAATCTGCATGGAGGCCACATAATTCACTGTGTTCACTGCTAGGATTTTATTCTGAAACCTGAGAATTAGAAGGATACTGCGTTCATAAATATGGGTAAAGAATGTTATATGAATGCATTAAACTCACTGGTGCAAATTCAGATTCTCAGATCAGATGTGGCATGGCCGATGATCAGATGTGGCATAGGAGTTATAGTTCAGCAATAACTGGAAACCACAGTCCCCATTCTTGCTATATATTTATAATGTTGGAGTATCTTTTAACAATGGAGGAAGGTCCATTAGCACATTTTTCTAAAAAAACAACACCTTAAGCAAATATGTTTGATTCACTCAGCCATCAGAAACCACAGATGCTTTGCCCATTCACAGTGTATCTCTTTAGCTCCCAAGGTACATATCTCTCCAGTGCCAGAAGCTCAGTGCTTCCAGACTATCCTGGCTGGGATGCCACTCCTTCTAGAATGCCAAGTCTCCACATCTGATGCCTCTGTCCAGTGGCTCAAGGATGGAGATCCTGTGCTGATGGATGAAAATAGTCTCATTGTCAAATCAGAGGGCTGCCTTAGGAGGCTTTTGATTAATTCAGCCTGCCCCTTGGACTCAGGAACCTACACATGTTGCACAGCTGACGAGACGGTTGACTTCACTGTGACTGTGGAAGGTGAGTGGAGACAAAGAGATGAAATAATATGCATGAATAAACTGATAGCCTTTGATAGATAACTCCCAAGTGAAGAGGCAGCATCTTGGATTACTGCTGAGCCTCTTCTATCCATCACCAACTTAGGTCCTGGACTAAGTTTTTCTCTTTAGTATTCGACTTGTGTCTGCCTATTTAGTTGTTCCATTACTCTCACCCTTTTCTTGCAATTGATCCCTAAATATTATTTCTGTTCATTAACAGACTGCATTATATCAAACGCTGTCAAGCAATCACCGGAATCTCTGCTTCTCATTTTTACCTAGCATGTGAGATGTAGAGAGACTGATTCACCCTCTCCTATTATATCAGAATTAGTTAATTTCTTTGCTTGGTAACATTTCCTCCCAAACTCCACTAACCTAGCTCATTTGGGAAATATCATATACTATGCTCTCATGGACTTTCCTTTTGCAGAGGTGCCTGTCCGTGTTATTCAGTCCACTGCAGATGCAAGTCACATCTACCAGACTTCAGACCGTGTGGTGCTATCTTGTGAGCTGTCTTGCCCAGATGTTGCAGTTTGCTGGTATAAAGATGGGAAGGAGGTGGTGGAAAACAATGGTTTCTTGCTGGAAAACAAGGGATTCCATCATCGTCTGGTCATCCCTGCTGCTCAGAAACATGATACAGGAGAGTATATGTGTGATGCTGCTGGAAATTCCATATTTTTCAATGTCACCATCACTGGTGAGGAATTATCTGGGAATTTACTACATATATTTGTATTCAAATAAATAGCATCAACCTTTTTTGACTTTGTAGATCTTGGCTGTTTCTTCTTTATACTTCCAGAAGGTGCTCATATATTGATGAGAGGAAGCCAGATCTGAAAATTTTAATTCCAACATTTTTGGGTTGTTCGTTTGTTTTCCAGCATAATGTTAATCGGAGCTCCTTTGAATAGGAAATGGGAAAGGACAGTCTATGCTTAAGCGTAGGATCTTGCTGGCACAGTTTAGACTGAAATTGGAAGGAATTAAATGCCAGAATCGTCATTATACACTATGACATATATTTAAATCATGTAGGAACTATTTCTTTTAAAGAAAAGTGCAGTGAGGGAAGACAATTTATTAGTGAAGAAGGAGTGGTTGTAATGTTTTTAGTGTTTCCTACTTCCTTCATTTTTCTGCTGACATTATCCACCCCAGCAATGTATTCCTTTGCACTATACCTAATATCTAGCAAGAGGTGACGTATACATTGCTAGATAGGTGACAATATAAATTCAGTTTAACTAAAAATAATAAATCAGGAGGGGCATTTCTCTAGATACATCCCTCCTAAATGTTGCCCCTCCTAGTTTATTACTGGTATTTTTAGTTAAACTAAATTTACATTGCTGCCCATCTTGCAAAAGAAACTCTGATGTGAATTGCTTAAATGCATGTACTACGTATGCATGTATGCAGCACAGCACTGTGACCTCCTATACTCATGCAGTATGTTTGTCTATCAGAGCCTCTGGTGCAGATTTTGCAGCCAGTGGAACGTTCACTAGAGAAGCAGGTGCAGGAATTTGACCGCCTAGAGTTGAGCTGCACAGTGTCCATTCCTGATGCCCCGGTGCGCTGGTTCAAAGATGGCCTAGAGGTGGATGAGACACACAACCTGTTGCTTCACGCAGAAGGTGCAGAACGTTGCCTGATGATCTTGCGGACAAGCGTTGAAGATGCTGGGGAATACATCTGTGAGACCAAGGATGAATCTGTCTCCTTTGATGTCATGGTTTCAGGTGAGCTCTCCGGCCCTGGCTCTGCACTTCTCAAATTTATAAATAATCCAAAACCTAACGTGATGCAGCTCTATAAATTATACAACCATCACATCTGCAAAAGCCTATCTTAATTTAACTAATCTATAAATGCAGCCTTCTGGGTGTAATCTGGGTCTATACTTGTGCTTCTATTTTTATCCCAGTATGGAATGTCTCTTCACAGCTGTAGCAATGCCCATAAACTACAAAATTTGTTAACAACAGGATTGGATTTAGTGTTAATGAAAATTATGGAGTTTTCCTTGTTCATTTCAAAAAAAACTTCCTTTCTGGTTATATGCAATCCAATATAGAATAAATATTATGCCATTTGTTCCCAAACCTAGCCTTTTATCAGTTATGATGGGGAGGCAAGGGAGAATAAGGAAAATTGAATGCAAGGAAAAATTAACTGAGATCAGACACATACAGCAACTGTGAGAGCAAAGTATGGCAGTAACTTATGTATATAATTGGTCTTTGGACATTTAGGCCTTATTGAATTTTGCCAACAATGTATCTCTCTCCAAGTAATAATATGTTTTGAGGTAAATGCTGCAAGTATAACACTGACTACCTCTGGGTGAAGTGATGGCAATTTATTTTCTAGAGTGGGCAATCCGATATCCCAAGAAAGCCACACAGCAAGACATGAAAGCTGCAGTAACTGCCCAGATTCTATAGTTTCTGGGGTTGGAAATTGGGTACAATGAACAACTTCTTTTTTGAATTGATTAATTGAGCCTTCTGAATTAGGACAGATCACTACATTTCATAGAAAATAATTCAGTAGCATAACTAGGCAGGTGTAAAGGAATACTTCATTTTGTCATTCTGAATAGTCCGTCTTCAGCTTCATTAGATGATTTTGGGATCGAACAGTGACAGAGACTTATGTACATTCCCCACACCATGCATAAATTTTACACATTTTTATCATTCTTTCCTTGCTTGCTTTTTTGCCAAAACTAATAAAAATAATGAAGGTATCAGATAGAATCTTTTCCGCCTAAACAGATAAGCAAAATTGCTGTGAAAATAAACCCTGCTACTATAAAAAGCAAATGCAGAAAAGATTGCAATTAAATGTATGCATGCATTGCATATATTTATAGTGTAATTGATTTGTTCTGAAATTGGCCACCTGTATAGCCAGCTATTCTTGGAGAATCCCTATTGACTAAAATTTCTATACATTTTAAAACAGTACTGAGTCACCGGGGTTTGTTATGTAATATATTTGATTTTGCTTTTCAAGACTCTGCATTTAGTATTATTTTTGGGCAAACATTCAGCAAAGCAGTCCAGTCCTATGCTTTAGTCAAAACTTCTACTAAAACGTAGGGCTGGAATGCTTTGCTGAATGTTTGCCCAAAAATAATACTAAATGCAGAGTCTTAAAGATGCTTGGTGAAACAGCAACATTTTGCATACTGTTGTATTTATCTTGACTATTATATAAAATGGACAACATATATAGAATTAGTATGTGGATCAAAGAAAATAGTGTGTGTATAAACTGCTAGTATGAAAATGCAGCATAAACATCTAATATCATACCTGATTTTATGAATGGAGCTGCAGGGAAAGGATTGCAAAATATTTCTTTAAGATACAGCAGCTCTTTAAAATGAGACTTTAATTATTACTTGCAAGTCAGGATGACTTAATCTTGGAAAATCGAGCCGAACTACACATACAGAATTACTCGTTAGCGTGTGGAATAAAACAAAATACCTTGGAAGATGAGATATTTTAGCTTGAGGGCATTTTTATTTTTACATAGGATACATCATATATAAATATTAACAAAAAACACAGAAACAGAACAGCTGTAATTAATTGTAGCAAAAAGAAGGAACCTTTAAAAATTCCCTCCCCCTTCTTCTGAAATTCTTGTCTTGCTAAATTCCTCTCTATAGAGAAAAATACCAAGAAAGGAATCCTTGAAGCACTGAGGTCAAAACCACTTTAGGTGGAAGGGAGGATCAATTTTTGGAGTGTTTTTCTAAAAGACAGAAAGGGCAAGCTGAGAGCAAAATGGAAAAGGGAATTGTCAAAATGTACCTATAGAAAAGATGGACCTGAAGTATCTCCAAGGCTTGCCTTGTCTCTTTCCAAAATGCAAGGTTTTCTTGTTGCAAAGGTGTTCTCTCAGCCATAAACGTTTGCGGTTTTGCCCAGCAACAACAGTTGTGTTGCCTGTGGCCTCTTCAAACCTGGGCTACCTGCCCTCTCCTTCCAGAGTCCCCTGTGAAGATCGTGCAGCCGCGCAGGACTCCCTCTGTCCTGAAGGCCTCAACGGGGGATACAGTGGCCCTGGCCTGTGTGCTCTCCCATGGGAATGCGCCTGTCCACTGGGTTAAGGATGGTGTCAGAGTAGAGGCCAACAGCGGCCTCATCCTGGAGGAAGAGGGTGCCCGGCGGTGTTTGGTCATCCCTGCAGCTGGCCCAGAGCATTCTGGGAAATATATCTGCCACACTCTTGATGATACCATGACCTTCACCCTCCAGGTGTCTGGTGAGTGCAGCATTCAGGAAAGCTGATAGTGCTAGGAAAAGAAGGTGAGAACATACTACCAGGATGGGTGGTTGGTGGTTGGGAGAATTTGTCTAACATTGGTTGAATCATTTAGATATACTATTCTTTGTTGGTTCTTAGCTTCTTTTCTCAATGAGTAGATACTCCAAAGCATCAGTATACAGATCTTGAGCAAAATTGCCCCAGAGCTCCTGAAAAGCAAGGGTCTCTCCAACCTCTAGAGTTGGCAAATTGGACATAAATATAATTTATCTCCTGATTCAAAGAAAGTATTCTTTGATATGCAGGAGAGGCAGAAAGCATTATCTCTTGGCCCCAATTATCCAAACAAAATAATATTTTAGGCCTGCAATTGTTTGGTGACAGACTGTATACAGGAGTGGGCTTCAAAAATTTCAGCAACAGATTCTCTGCCCAGTTGCTGGGTGGGCGCGGCCATCATGGTCGTGGCCTAGTTGGCCTCCTGCACCACGGTGGCGTGGGGGGGGGGGATTTTCACCTTCCCCAGGCTCCAGAGGCCCTCTGGAGGCTGGAAATAGGGCCTGTTTCTGGCCTTCTGGAACTTGCAGGAGGTCCGTTTTTCCCCCAACCCGACCATCCACATGGGCCCTGCACTTACCTCACATCCAAAATGGGCTGCTTGGAGATTCCTGGGAGGAGAGGGGTGGGCTGGGGCCAGCCAGGAGTGGGATTTGGAGGTTCTCCAAACCAGCCATAAAGTTAACTATGGGTTCTCTATCCCTGACTGTATATGAGGATTGGTATGAACACCATTCATGAAGCAATCTTGCTGCAAGCATTTCAGTTGTCTTCAATATTGACTTTTGTTAGCCAGGAGAGGATTATTGGCTATTCTGTTTCCATTCTCTGAGTTTTCTGTGTGCGCTTTTACAGTGTTCCTGCTACTTTTATATGCATCATGAATTAACAAGCAACCTTTGCCTTTTTTGTGCACACCATAGCACCAGGCTAATGTAGCATATGTAAGATTCTAGCAAACTGAAAGCATATATGGCAGCAAAGTCTGTCAGGAGTGTGACAGCCCAGCAAAATTGCATAAAGGGCTTTTCCCTTAGCTAGGCTGAATGAAATATTGACTAGGAGCTGGGAAATGTTAAAGGCAGCTTCTTTTAATGGCCATAAACATAGAGTGAACTTGCTGGAAAATAAATTTTGTCTGTCTCTGAAGTGAGGAAGAAAGAGAATGCAAATAGATTTTCCAAAACTGGTGTGGATGATTTTAGAAATTTGCATTGCATCAATGCTGGTTGGTGGAGAATGTAGTGATACTAATGGGGGAGGTTGAGGCCCAAGGAGCAAGGAAAAAGCAGCATCTGGAAACGTTTTATGTTTTCAAAAATATACAGTTTATAAAAATATGGTTGGACCAGATAAAAACTTTCCAAGGTCCTTAGCCAAGAGTGTGGCAGATGGAAGGAATCTGAACTTTCCTATGGCCAGACATCATTATATTGGGAATAGGAGGAAATTTAACCCATTTTCTAATCTTCAGATCCGATCTGTTGGTATTCCTGAAAAGTGCCTCTTGCTCACATGCAAATCCTGGTTTTAGGATTCTTGTATAATTTTAATAGTACATACGGCGCTCTGTGTTTAGTGCTTAGTTCAACTTTGTCTGATAGATGCAAGTGATAAGAGGTGGCTTTATCTGGTAAAGTACAGAGCTTTATTGTACATTCTTTTGAAATTAAAATTTTTAGTTTGATAAACTTTCTAGAAATTCTGAGCATAGAGTTCTAGCATAGTTACATGTGGTCTAGTCTCTCTTCTGATTAAAATTTATCTTTACGATGTAGTATTGTATATTTATTTAATGCCATTATTGGTACTTGGACCGCTGGCATCAGATTACTATTTTCCTACACAATGTCACACAACTGACGTTTTCCTGACTCTTGGCCATCTATTCTTAGCTGCTTCTGAGGAATCTTTGGCTAAAGAATCTTTCTTTCTAAAACCACCCAAGGAGAGTTGGCTGAGTGAAATGAATTCATTTTCAGGCGATTTCTTTTACTTGAGTTTGCCTTTGGTTTCTTGAGAGAGAAAATTGGATTTCCTCCCCTGTGTACTGTTTTACTTAGAAAAAGTATTATTAATAGAATGTTGCTCTGTTTTTTTAAATGGAGATGTTTGATAAATGCTATATTTTTAAACTGGGGTATGTACAGGAGAATATTCAGACTTCCCACAGAATGTAGCCTTTGGTGTCAAAAATCTTTTTTGGGTCAGGGCCTGCCCTACAATTAGACTAAGTAAGAAGGTTGTCTTGAGCAGCTCATTTTAATTGTAATGAAAGCCCAGCTGGTCTACTTACTGTTGTATTAGTTTGGCTCTTTAGACCCAGTGCCAGAGTAACTTGAGCAGCTTTGGTTTTTGCACACCTTGGTTTGAGAGGCTGGCATGAGTAATATCCTTCTTCAGATAGCAAACTATCTGCAATCAATCTCTCTTACATTTCTGTACTCTTCATCACTTTGAAGAGCAGCATATAAGAAGTGTAATGGAAAGTACTTTAGGAAAGTGATCCTTGTTGCAAGAGAATAACAACCTCTGTTGATTTGTCAAAGTTGGAACTTTATTCCGCGTAGCAGCTGTATGTAAGAATGTCCTAACTGGATAGTTAAGAGAGGAGGAAAAATATATATTTTTAAAGTATGCTTTGAGCAAAAGCATGGAGAGGTGACTCAATTTCCTCTTGGAAGAAAGAGGTTAGCTCCTTTAGGAGCTGAATTAGTTGAATCCCACTGGGTGCTTATGAACGCCATCGGTGAGTTGCTGTGTAGAGTTTGTCCACTAGATGGAGCTGGCTTTGTGACAGCCTTGACAGCAGATGATCTGCATTTAGCGTATTTGGTGCGTAAGCGATGATGAAGGCCAGGAGATAGGATATTGTTTGGTTCTGGTTTTGTTTTTGGTTGCTTGAGAGGAGGCTGCAAGTAAAGTACAGTACAAAGTTCAAAAGGCTTTCTTCGTCGATACACCATGTATACAAAGAGTGTACAACTTGGGTGCTCTTGGTGTTCCCTCTGGGAAAGGCTTGCTTTCATAAAGATTTGCTATGGACTTTGGAGGCTTAAAACATTTTCTTTACTAGAAGAGGAATTTATAGAAAAGGCAGGGAAAGGAAATCTGCAAACTCAGAGATGAAGTACCCTTTGCTGCACTTTGCTCTCATGGGATCAGTGAATGTTCTGCGAGGCTTAATGTTGCAGCCCTCGGAAAGTCTATGAGGATCTTTGAATAGGAAATTACTAGAGAGTATCTAGATTTACTTTGTGACCGTGTGATTCATTTAACAACTACATTGATTTATTAACAGCTATAGCAGAAAAGTCATAAAATCAGGTGTGATTCATTAACTTGCTTAGCAGCAGAGATTCTAGCCCAATTGTAGCCCTAAGTCAAGAACAACCCTTGATATATAATGGAAAAGTAAAAGTCATACGCATAGTATGATCATTTGTCTTAAAGATACCTTTCTCCTGCTATCTTTTCTGTATGAATAAGGTTGTGATGTTGGAAAAACAGAGGGAGAGGGGTCCCAAATCATTGAAGCTTTACAGATGAAAATGTTCATTGTTCATTTACGCCTGGGGTATCAGTGTCCAATTGACTTCACAATAGCTATCTGCAGATCTGTTGATTCCAGAGGCCAACCTTATGACATACTCTTGTTAAGAGAACATTGACTAATCCTTGGTATATTTCTTCCCAAGCTCAAGAAGCCTTTAGTGCTTCTCTGGAAAATGAAGCCTGGTTCTAAAACTGGCTGAAATGGTGAGAAATGATATCTAACGACTGAAGGGTAATAATAGGGGAAATCTGATCTAGGTTCTCGAAGCAACATGTTCTCCTGGGTCAAGGTCAAGTCCACCTCCAGCTATGTGTGGTTTTGTTTTTAGAGCTGATGTCTTAAATTAGATATCCCTTGGAGATTAGATCCTCAGCATAAGCTCACACTATTCCAATTTCTCTTAAATTGTGCACCACTTAGGAAACTTTTTTTTAAATGTAAAACAAGAGAGAACTGAAATAGGAGAAATACTATTATGTTAATCACAACAGCGTCCCCCTCATTAAGACAGCAGTAAAAATTAAAACAGCTACAGAAATTTAACTAACATTGTTTGTACTGGCAGATCCCCCAGTCCAAATAGTGGGGCGAGATGAGCTGCAAACACACCACCATTGCTTGGTTTCTGAAGACCTGGTGCTCTCGATAACATTGTCTTGCCCCAAAGGAGAGGTGAAGTGGTACAAGGATGGGGAAAAACTGCAGGACACGGAACGTATGTGGTTGGAACAAGATGGAACACGACATTCATTGGTGATTTCAGCAGTGGAAATGTCTGATGCTGGGGAATATCTGTGCGACAGTGGTGATGATAGCCTTATCTTCTATGTCATGATAGAAGGTAATGTCTGAGGGTGGGGTGTGGGTGGAAGGAAAGGGCACTTATGAACAAGTTCCTCGTATGAAAAAAATATATTATTTATAAAGCAAGAATGACAAGGGTAACATGGAAAGAGCATTATGTTCCCGCTTCCAGATTAGTTCAATACTATTTCAGTAATCCATATTCAGCACAGGAAATAAAGGATTCAATACAAACTTGTTCTTCCACTTACATTTGAAGAAGGTCAGCTTATTCACAGTCCCTAGCTTTGTCTCTCCTTTTTGGCAACAAGAGTTGTGGCTGTTATTTTGTGAATGGAGTCTTAGAGGGTTCCTCATTATTCATAAACAGGAAAGTGCATGTTTTGGCTACTTAAAGTCAATATGATTTAACATATTTTCAGAACCATGACTATACATTTGTTTTATTTGCTTATAAATTGTTTATAGTGCTTCAATTGAAGAAGACTTTTAAGAGGTAATTAGTCTTCACAGAGTTGCATTTCCAGCACCTTCTGAAATCCCACTAATAAAACACAGTGTTATCATTCAATGCAGAGCTTAAGATGGGCTTTGTTTCTGCTGATATTTGGAGTAATTACTAGGCTATAAGGGTTGTTTATAAAAGAAAGTCAAAATTTAGCATCAAGAAACGCTGGGTATTACTAAAATACATCAAGAACAGTAGCTACACACCACCTTCCTTATCTAATACAAATTCTTCCACTTTTATTTGTTGTGGGAAAAAGTTACACGGTTTATCTAGGACATGGCTGTGGTCGTTTACTTGCCACGAGGGCAATATTGTCTCCAGCATTAGAGATGTCTGTGTCCTTTGCACACCAGTTCCCCTTTGCTCTGAAGTGACACCTAGGGGAATGTCTTCCTGCCCTGAAGCTTTTTTTGAAGGGGGTGGAGGGGAAGCTGTCCATTTAAAAGACTCTAATGCTAAATCTTGAATTTAACATTCCCGGGTGGGGGAAGTAAGGCAAGCAAGCTACATATTTTTAGAGCCTGAAATAAATGACTTTCAAGATCAGGCCCATTTGTCTGGTCAGCTACAGGACACTGATATTTTGTGAAGACTGACTGGAGGCAGCTTGTGTCATTCAGTTGGCTGCCAAAAGTTGCATGGGCCCTGTTTTATGACAGTGTTTTCTTTTTCTTGGTTTCCAAGAGCCTCCCATCTCCATCGTGGGAAATGCAGGGATGCCAGAGCGATGCTCCTTGGCAACTGGAGAAGATTTAATCTTGGCTTGCGAGACATCTTCACCTACGGCTACTGTGCGATGGCTCCGGAATGGCAAGGAGCTAGTGGGAGCGGCCAAGCGTATTCGCATAGAGGCCACTGGAAGGCACCATCAACTCACCATCCATAGTGTCACCCCAGGGGATTCAGGCTCTTATGTGTGTGATGCAGGCACAGACCAGAGGGCGACTACCGTAGAAGTAGCAGGTGAGAGTGGTTCAAGTGGGGAGAAGGGTTGAAAGCACAAGAAGGCACAAAAATGTAATGTATGGGGAACAAACTGGTGTAGAGTAATGGCTGAATCTGAGATATTGAGCAAGACATTATTGGTTCAATATTGAATATCGTATTCAATATTAGTATTGATTATTGAATAGAATTCAATATTGAATATTTTCAATATTGAATGGTATTCAATATTCTCCTCATTTCAGAATTTATAACATAGAGAAGCCATGCTACACGGCTGTTCCGCGAGCTGCACTGGTGCCAGTTTGCTTCCGGATGCAATTCAAAGTGTTGATTATTATCTATAAAGTCCTGCCTGGCAGGGGTCCAGGTTACTTGAGGAACAGTCTTAGCCCAATGAGACAGGACCACCCTACCCTGCTGGCAGAGGAGGCATGTGGCAGATCCCATTGGCCAAGGAATTCTGACTGGTGGGGTCTAGGAGAAAAGCCTCCTCTGCCATGATTCCTGCCTTTTAGCAATTTCCAACCTTTCTGGCTCAGCAGACTGGCGGAGGTGATAGTGGCGGGGTAGGGGGTAGAGGGGACAGTTTTGCGTGTATGTGTGCTACTTTAACAAATACAGCTTTGCGCGCACACCTTTTCCACAGCCTGGTTCCAAATGGGCTGTGGCTGTTGGGTTTTGGGGTCCCCTGAATCTTGCCTCTCAGAGTAAGATCTGCCCCATCATCCTGACCTTCCGTAAGGGCCTGAAGACCTGGTTCTGCTAGTTGACCTCATGGGGAATGTGGTTGATGGACCAACAGAAGAGCCCACGTCTCCTCATACATTTTGCTCCCTCCCCTCCCACCTTTGAATCATAATTTGTATCTGCAGTGGCACAGTGGTTAGAGTGCAGCACTGCCTGCAGTTTGACAGGTGGAATCTCACCAGGCCCAAGGTTGACTCATCCTTCCATCCTTCCAAGGTGGGTAAAATGAGGTCCCAGATTGTTGGGGAAAATATGCTGACTCTGTAAACAGCTTAGAGAGGGATGTAAAAACACTGTGAAACAGTATATAAGCCTAAGTGGTATTGCTCTTTTATTGTTATTAGAGAGATTTACATTTATGGTTTTACTGCTTTAAGATTGTAAGCTGCCCAGAGTTGCATGCAGCAAAATGGGCAGCAAACAAATAATAAAATAAATAATATTTCATCCTCAACCCAGCTGACAGTAGTAGGGCAATAATGGCCATCTTATGGCTGAAAAGATGACTGACAAAATATAGGTAATCCTCAACTTACAACCATTCGTTTAACGGCCATTTGCAGTTTTGATGATGCTGAAAAAGTGACTTACAACTGGTCCTCACTGTCAAAGCATCTCCATGGTCCCATGATCAAAATTTGGGAGCTTGGCAACCAGGATCTATTTGTGATGATTGTAGTGTCCCAGGGTCATGTGATCCCCATTTGCAACCTTCCTGGGGTGCTTCTAACAAACAAAGTCAATAGGAGAAGCTGAATTCACTTAACAACTATGGCAAAAAATAAATAAATAAATTATAAAATCAGACACAATTTACTTAAGGACTGCAGCCCTTACAGATGGAATATTTGTTCCCAGTTGTGGTTGTAAGTAAAGGATTACCTGTATGTATTTATATGTCCTCTAACTATGGTTCAAAGATAACTTGGTATTTTTTCTTTATGTCCTCATGATACTGTCTTTGTCTCTTCTCTATCCCATAGCTAAGATGTCTAACACCATTTTTAATGGATCTGATGTGTTTTCTATCATCTCCTATCATGAGACTTGCTATATGCCGACTCTGTAAATCACTTAGAGAGGGTAGTAAAGCTCAATGAAACAGTATATAAGTCTAAATGCTATTGCTGTCAGCATGATTTCTGTTGCTCCGGCAGCAATGGCCTTGGGTGAAGCTGCCAGAAGGGGGCTTGGGACCATTCCTCCGCAGTAGTTTACTTAAGTAGGATTAACATTTGATTGATTATGTCATCACACACATATAATCATCCCCCCGCCATCTTACCTGCCCCCCATCGCAGAGAAGTTCTGAATTCCTTTGGAGATCGTGTCTTGTAGGAGGATTTCCCATCATCACATCCAGAAAAATTTAGTAATTGGAATAGGGCACACAACAAGTGAAGGGAACAAGCTGGCCCTTTGCCTGCACTCCATTGACTGTAACTTGGCCACATTCTTAGGTTACTAAGACTTATGTGCTTTTGGCCTGTAATTCATCTTCTGACTGAAAGCAAGATATACTGTACAGACTTTGAAAGAAATTGTGGGGGAAGCACCAGGACAGATGCTTTGAGGAGAAGCAGAAAATAACTCATCAGTCCTTGCCAAAAGATGAGGTGGCAGCAGAGACAAGCAGCATCTTTTTGCATCTAGGCTTAAATTCTTAATTAAAAGCTGTTTGCTTCTGGAGATTATGCAGAGGAAAAAGAGTAGCAGTTGTGGTCTGCCACTGGTAATGGAAATGTACTCAGTTTCCCCAAAGTAATATGAAGAAGAGGCTGGAAATCCTTGTTTTCCATATTTCCAGTCCTCCTCCTCCTCCTCTTACATAGTATAAAAATAAATAACATTGCTTATTTTTTAGCATGTGGTAATAATTAACAGAAGGAACTGCCATTGATATTGATGCCACCTGGATATGTTGAATTAATATTAAGATGATTTCAATTCTTTTCCAAAATGGTAATAAAATAAGTGTCCAAAAAGAAAAGATGTAGCTGTAATTCATATAATTCTCTTTTTACGGTTTCAGAAAGGTTTATAAGATATTGTACTTCAATGGTAGTACATTTTTTTTAAAATTTCTTTTAGGACAGGGAACATATCCAGTTTTGCTTAACAGGGAACTCTTTTTTCCTCTTAGCACCTCCTGTGTGCATTGTGAATAAGGATGATGCCCGGGAGCCCATTGAAGTCCAGGAAGGAGAGAATGTGACATTGGTTGCCCAACTTTCTCAAGAGAAGACCTGTGTCCAGTGGCTCAAGAATAGGCAGCCACTGTGTCCTGGGCCACGAATGATTATGAGCAGTGAGGGGCTGGTCCACAGCTTAACCATTCAACAATCAGAGCCATGTGATTGTGGCACATTTACCTGCAATACTGGAGATGATGAAATGCATTACACAATAAATGTACAAGGTAAGAATACCAGGGGTGGGATTCAGCCAGTTCGAACCAGTGCAGGCGAACCAGATATTAATTTTAATCTGGTTTGCTGAACTGGTAGTTGAAAGGCCTGGCTGACCCCACCCACCCTCCCCTCCCCTCCCCTCCCAGGAGTCTCCACGCAGCCCGTGTTGGATGCCAGGTAAGTGCAGGGCCCGCACAGAGGCTCTGGGAGGGCGACAAACGGGCCTACTGGAAGTCCAGAAACTGGCCCGTTTCCGGCCTCTGGAGGCCCTCCGGAACCCAGGGGCCTGTTTTCACCCTCCTGGAGGCTCGAGAATAACCTCCAGAGCCTGGGGAGGGTGAAACCCCTCCCTGCTGTAATGCAGGAAGCTGACTAGGCCACACCCCCATGGCTACACCCAGTAACTGGGCAGAGAACCAG